TGAGGACTTGGCAACACTGACTGTAGCTAATAGCTGTCTGTTAATACCTCTGCTAACTTAAGTCACTCAACTGGACACTTCAACTATGTTTCTGCTGTTAATGCCTTTTAGCATTATTAACTGACCAAAAACATGGCTTGATGTTTGATACAGACTCTCCAAAAATTAGTGCTTGGGTTTCTAAACTGTTTAACAGGAATTTGGACCTGTGCAATAGAGGCATACACTTTATGGAGCGTGCTAACCATGCTCGCTAACCATGCTCGCTAGTTAGCTGATAGCTTAGCACTACACTCTCTTCTAGGTTGTTTTTTCCCTGAAAAGACTAAATACCTCCTTCAAAATGTCCAGTCCAGTCCTGAAACCAGTGGGCAACCTCACAGTGGCCACAACTGTGTTTTATTTACAGTCTGTGGTTTGAACCTTCTTAAGGAAAGGGCAACCAATCTGAAGAAAGTTAGTTTATTGAAAGGGAGAGGGCAGCTTTGTGGTGAAATAGGAACGCTATGTGTGATCTACAATGTGCCTAACCTTCCAGGTGGTGGGGTGTCTGTGTCCAGCGGGATTCAGTGGGAAATTCTGTGAGAACACTACAGATTTATGTCGAGGCGAGCCCTGTTTCCGAGGAGTGCAGTGCCGATCAGAGTCTGGCCAGTTCACCTGTGGTGAATGTCCTGATAACACTTTCGCTAATGGGAAAAAAGGATACAAGTGCTTTGAAAGTAGTATGTAGATTTTTTTTTACTTGTCAACACATTATCACCTTCTAAAAACCACCATGACTGACCCCATAATTTCACCCTGCACCTTCCTTTTCCCAGACATGTGCATCCCTCCTTTTCCCTTCCCCTGCCACAAATATGCTTATTGCAACAGCACAAAACAGAGCTACACCTGCACATGTATGGAAGGCTTTAATGGAGATGGACACAACTGCACAGGTAGTGAGCACTCAGCACTCGAGCATGAATAATAATGCAGCTTTTTAAAACGTCTTCACTTCATTCTTTGTGTCTATATTATAGATGAAGACGAGTGCGTGGATTTTCTGAACTGTCAAAATGCCAAGTATGAGTGTAAGAACAAGCTTGGCACCTATGAATGCATCTGCAGATATAAAAACTCCAAGGATGATAAAGGATGTGGTACGTTCACCCTCACATGTAGTGGACTATTGTGGCAGTCAAAGTCTAAATGTCCATAAATGCATTAGAGTGAGTCAGATGACAGTTTGCAGATACTCATGTAGCTCTAGACAGGTGTGTAATTTGTCAGTTGTGTAATGTGAGGAATAAACAGTTTTGCGCACAAATGGCAAGCCCCAGACATTATATTTAATATTAATATTTACACTTATAAGTGTAGAGGCTGACACAATGCACTTATTTAACCTATAAGAAAAAATTGTCTTGAGAAAAAATAAAAAACTAAATAGGTTTTTCTATGTCTTAATGAGATCTTAACCAGTTTCATATGGAGAAGTTTTTACTTAGCGAGTGAGTTGGTTAATGACTAGTTAGTGACAAAGAGTACTTCCTCTTTTTGATGACCCTTTTAAACTTTCTTTGAACTGTGGAAACTTTAACAGGTGTTCAACACATAGCTTCCACTGTAGTTACTATAATACCTCTAAAGTTACAGCAGGAAATCAAATAAATGTACACGCACTAGATTCAAAAAGCTTCAACAACCCTGAAACAGCAAATGAATCCAAACCATTTATCGTCTTTTACTTGGAACCTATCCCAGCTAGGGGAGGTCACCAGTCTGTCGGCTATCACAAGAGACAAATGAGCATTCATGCTCACATTCACATCTACAGATGTAGCTGACATACATGTCATTGGTCTGTGCATAGGAGGAAGCTAGAATACCTGCGAGAACATGGGAACTCCACATGTAATAAATACAACAGAGGATTTAAATCAAGGACCTATTTGCTATTCAGTTCAATTCAATTCAGTTTTATTTATAAAGGGCCAAATCAAAACAACAGCAGTTGCCCCACGGTGCTTTATATTGTAAAGTAAAAACCCTACAATATTCGAGAGAAAACTCCAACATTCACTGTTGAGGCCCATGTCACTTTATAATGCTGGGTACAAAATGATTGTTTGGCTAAGGATAGTACAGATGTGCAAACATCCTCTTGCCAGCTGATACGAGTCATATTGAAGCTGCTGACAGCTGGATTGTGCTAATAGAATTCAATTATTCAATTCAGTTTTATTTATATAGCGCCAAATCACAACAACAGTCGCCTCAAGGCGCTTTATATTGTAAGGTAGACCCTACAATAATACATACAGAGAAAAACCCAACAATCACATGACCCCCTATGAGCAAGCACTTTGGCGACAGTGGGAAGGAAAAACTCCCTTTTAACAGGAAGAAACCTCCAGCAGAATATTAAATTCCGTTCTTTTGAATTCTTTTGGCGACAGAAAAAGACTGAACTCAGAGTGGTCAAGCAGAAAAAATAATCTTTATTTTACATTTCCGGAAATGGAGACCCGAACACACGAACACACACGCTCAGGTCTGAATTCTTTGCCAGCTAAATCCGTATTTCTGCACTACGTCACACCGACACACAGTTTACTTAGTTCCGCTTTTTGTTTCTGGTTTATTAATATGCGTGTGCAGCTCTGCGCTAAAACTTCCTGTTCTCTGCAAAAGCATGCAGTTTCCTGTCAGTACTTTTGGCTCAGATTCTACTCAGAGTTGGCCCTTTTAGACTGGAAGCAAACTATATTAAAAGCAAGTAACAATAAGCACTAAATAAGCACTAACAATATATTAATTTTGTGACAAGAACCAGGCTCAGGGAGGGGCGGGGCCATCTGCTGCGACTGTTTGAGGGTGAAGAGCGGAAGATAGGGTAAAAGACTCACTGTTGAAGAGAGTCAGAGATTAATAATAACTAATGTTTAAATGCATAGTGACATATAAACACCAAGAGAAAAGAGGTGAATGAAGAGGAAACCCCCAGCAGAATAGATATATTGCAGCGTAACTAAATGAGGATTCAGGGTCACCTGATCTAACGCTATGGTTTATCAAAAGGGAAAGTTTTAAACCTAATCTTAGAGATATAGTGCTCTACATACTGCACTGTGCAGCTGAATTCAGGAATCAAAACAGGAATCGAAAACTGGATTATGACCATGACACTTTCTAAATATGCTCTAACTCATGGTGCCTACTTCCATCATTTATGTACAGCCTATTGATGAAACTGACTCTCTTAAAAGTGATGGAGTATTACAATCACCTCCACACTCAGAAAGGCACAAATTGAAGTTGCTGTAGTCTCTGCATATGTAAAAACTGTAGTTGTGCTCTACAGCAGAGCATACCTGCTGGTTTATTATAACTCAGCTAATGTGTTTCTCTGCAGGTGACTCTCCTAATCCCCCAGGTAAGCGCACCCATATAGTTTCTCTTGTAGCTTCATCACAGCTCACCTGTTCCTCTGGTGTTTTATGGAAAATTATTATAGCAAAGATGCTTAAAGCTGCTCTTTCTGCCGACAGGCTATAACATGTTCAATGTCTCTGTGACCTGGAAAAAGAACGCAGCTGGTGGGATCCAACAGGTGTGTTTGTACATCAGAGATGTCTGGTAACACGTTCATCTGTAACAGCAATACAGGTTTATCAGTAGTTTACAATCATAATCTCTTTTTTTCTCTCAGTTGGATGAGATGTTAACCAGAGGTTTTACAAACAAGTATTATAACATCACCGAGATCAATCAGGGATTCACACCAGATGTGCTCGAATATCGAATCAAAGTGTCCAGTGACACCCCCCACTGGTACATCACAGACTACCTGACCAGAATCAGCAGCCACTATGGCATCCATGCCATAGAAGTTAATGGTAAAATATCTTTTATCTGTATATGCGCTGTTACTAGTGTGGATGCCGATTATAAACACAGCCAAAGTTTCAAGTAATGAGGTCAGAGCATGCAAGAGTTCAGGCTTCAGACTCCTCTAAATTCCAAGTTTCTCAAAGGTTTTAGCCCACTTGTTTCTGTAAGATGTCAATAATATAGCTGCAAGCAGAGAAGCCGCACCCGTCCAGCCTTCTGTTTGTGAGGGAAAGCTAATCAGAAGAAAGTTGGTTTATATGCACACAGCTTGTTTAAGACAGACGATGAACTGGAAAGCTGCATGGAGACATGGTACAAGATAAATAAAGATTATTTTTAACTTTTAATCACACAAAAAATCTACTCAACAGGAGTTCAGCATTAAAGACATTAGCATAAACGCTGTTGCATGGACGACACATACATACTCTGACGTCATTATTTGGATATTTATGCGTATATTTTTGTGTATTTTATTAGCAGAAGCATAACAGTGTTAGTAAGACTGTTTCCCTGCCTACAGACGTGGATGAGTGTAGTAGTAACGAGTATAAGTGTGACCACCCTGCTCTGTGCACCAACACCTACGGTGGCTACCGGTGTATTTGCAACGAGACTGACGTGAATAAACGCCAGTCCTGCATCATAGGTGAGCATCTTGTGTCCGTCCTGGTTTTACATCAAGTTACCAAATTAGTAACCTTCAAAACGCTGCTCAGGCTGCATAGCAACCATTGTTTGATAGAAATCTCACTCGTCTTCCTTTTACTGAGTTGTATGTGTTGTGTCTGAGGCTGAGAGATCACGGGCCTGTAAAGACAAGACAAAGTTTTTTATTTGGCTCATTAGTGGCTGATCTATTACAGAAAGAGGCCGAGTGGGAGACACAGAGGTAGACCTGGTCCTGGGGCTGGTTCTGGGCATCTGCATCCCTCTGCTGCTGCTGCTGCTCCTGGCTGTTCTGGCCTGCGTCTTCTGCTGCCGCAAAAAGACTGTTACTGGAGAGTGAGTGACACGAGCTTATATACAGTTTTAAATTTATACATAACATGAATGCAAACTGAAATATAAAAGTTAGTGTTTTCATTGACTAACACTACATTTTGATAGCTAAGAATTAATGTTCCATGAACTCACTGCCCTTTAAGATCCAAGAATAGCGGCGTTAATTTCCAGTGTTTCTTTTTTTTCATTCATATGACACTGTTGTCTCCTGGCGCACAGTGAGCACCATGCATCAGGCCTCATGTGTTCTGGTCTGTAATGAGCTTTACAGCCTCACAAAAGCTGTGCTGAGACAAAGCCTACAAATTAGCCAGACCTTCGTGGGGCACTAAAACTCTAATGAATAAATATAAAACACGCTTTCAGGTGGGTCAGCAGCTCCTTTGGGCAGGGTGAAACGAGGTTTATTGCAGGTCATCAAAAGATATACTGCTGCAAGGAGTGACCGGGCCAACACGCACATACACTGCTTGCGCACAAACACAGTTACACACTGTGCATTTCAAGGTACAGTAGTCAAGTAGGTCTGCCCAGAGACAATCTTCTGCAGCAACTTGAAGGCTTTAAATCCTGTCTGCTGTTCTGCTGCTGCAGCACTGTCGTCCTCCTATTTAACTTCTCAGTTGGAGTACAGACTGCCCACTCTACTGCTATATTAAACAAAGACACTTCCTACTAACAGCTTTGGGCCGAGTTATGAAACTGCACTTGGGTAACACTGAGGAATAGTTACGGGTACAATAAAGCCTAAACCAGTGTATTGATGAGGGGAGAACATTCATCGGTGGAAAAAAACTATTCAGGTTTTATTTATAATTAGAGACAATGTTGGCTTTCAGCAAAATGTCTAAAACAGCAGTGTGAATCAGTCAGCTATTGCAATGTTTTAAAGCAGGGATGTCAAACTTATTTTACATGGTGGACCAAATGTATCTAAAATAGATGTATAAAATTACAGCAAAAGTTTGGTTGCTAGTTTTTTGCTAATTCACAGAATAATTTTTGTTTTTTAACCTATTCTTTAGTTGCTTTAGTGCAGTATGAATGACCACGTGGGAGGTCTTGATCAGTAGGAAAACCTGTAAAACTTATGAAAACACAGTTAGAAGTCCAAAATCTCGACCCTCCTTAACATTTTCCAGTTGGAGTCTTTTGTGGGCTAAATCTAACCCCGGGTCTTATGTTTGATGCTCCTGTTTTAAAGAAATAGCTTAAACCTTTTTTGAAAGGGAAACTACTGACTACTATTTTCTTGTGTGCTGACTTACCTGAAAAGGTTACTACGTTTATATCTGTGTGGTAAATATGAAGTTACAGAGAGCAGGAACGTAGCTTAGCATGAAGGCAGGCAATGGGGAAACTGCTAGCTGCTAGCTTTGTGTATAATTTGGTATTGAAAATATACCCAGTATATCAGGTATCGAATTTTGTTACATGTTGATGTTAGATGTAGGTGTTGGGCACTGGGGGCACAGGCTTCAGAGTGGTCACTGTTAGACTAACGAAGGCATGAGGTCAGAAGGGTGTGTCCATGGACTATGATGTTCACAGATCACATTGTAATTTGAGAGCATGAAAGGCAGTGGAAACAAGACTGAATACATGTATGTGAATAAGAGGGCGGCAGTATCTAAAGTCATGTAACAGTGAACGTGCAAGGACTAGAGGTAGTAAAGATGGATGAGTTAAATAGCTGGGGTCAACCATCCAAAGCAACAGATGCAATGCACAATGAAGACAGTGTGGATGGGGTGGAGTGGATGCAGACGAGTATTAAGGGCGGTTAATGACAAAAGGATAGAAAGTTAGAAAGGGTTGACGTGGTTTGGAGAGGAGGGGTAGCAGATATACAGGGAGTGCAGAATTATTAGGCAAGTTGTATTTTTGAGGAATAATTTTATTATTGAACAACAACCATGTTCTCAATGAAC